CTGTTTGCCCTCGCACACCCGCGGCCCAGCAGCTTCAGTCTCTGTCACCTTTGGCAGATGACGTGGTTTTCTGTCTGGCCTGGACTTCTCTCTCTCCTTTTGGTTTTTTGCTCTTGTCTTTGCCTTTTTTCCTGTCCTGCGGAGAGAGATGTTTCCGTAGTTAGGCTGTGTTGCAATTCACTGCCCACATCCAGTCCTGTGACAGCCATCGCTGTCGGGGTTCTGTCACTGGGATTTAAAGGGCGAAGGAAAGGGGTGAGAGGAAGTAAGAGCACAGCAGAGGGGCTGCTCAGAGAAGAGAATCCAGGAAATAGTGTCAGTACAGCTTTTTGCCATGCTAAAGAGAGAGAGCATCAGAGGAAGCACAAGTGGTTGCTTTCATATTGTCAAATGGAAAAATAAACTCACCTGTTTTCCTAGGCCCATTAAAAGCAGCAGCACTTATTGCTAACACCAACATTAAATACCGATACCAGCAGCGGGGGATGGTGCTTAGGCAGGATTATTTCAGCCCCATTTATGGAGAGAACTGAGAGCTGGATGGGAGGGATGCCTGGCCCAGCTGCAGGGCAGGATATGGTTAACCCAGCTACCAGCCCTGCCTGTTCCTGGCAGCCCTGCCTCACCGCCCTGACCCCGGACACACTCCGTACCTTCTCCTCCAGACTTGGTGGCTGCAGCAGCTGCTCAGTCATCAGGATCCCAAAGTCACACACAGTTGCCACCAGGTTCTCAGTGGCCAACAGGGTCTCCAAGGTCACCCTCCTGGTGCCCAGGGTCCTCCGAATGGGAGGGTCACTGCGGAGTTCACATGGCTTCTCCTTCTTCTTCCTTTTCTGCTTTTCCCTGAGCACAGGACCCTGCAGGGCACCAGCACGGAGACAAGCCTCAGCAGAGGTCTGGGGTCCCTTTATCAGACAGCGAGCAAACCCAGCCCAGCCCCTGGCCCACCAATGCATCCTGACCAGGTGTGTAAAACCACTGCTGCCCTAATTCTATAGCAAGGGGGGAATTTGCCCCGAGGTTTGGGATCAAGGGGAGAGTCTCTGACAAACCAAATGGCCCAGGAGAAGGACCTTTGTTCCCACATCATTATTTTTGCAATTCAGATGTTATTTGGACATTGTTCTCTCCCAGCAGCCTACCTTGGCACTGCCCTTCTGCAGCCCCCGTCCTGCCTTCCCCTTTGTGACTGCATTTTCTTCCGGATCAGCATCGACAGGCCATGACAGCACCTGCCCGGAGAGAGGAGCTGCAGGGGCTGGGACTCCCAAGGACCCTGGCCCAGCACCACCGCCATCCCAGGCTGCTTCCCAGAGGGAACGCAACACCACCGCTAGGTCTCCAAGCGGCAATCTCCCCTTTCAGCCAGCAATGCCACACACTCACCTTCTCCTCCACGACTGAGACAATCGTTCCAGCTGCCAGGTAGGACTTCAGCCCCACTAAGTCCTTGGCAGTGTGCTCCTTCCTGTAGCTGCAGTCGATGGTGTCTGCCCAGGGCTTTCCAGGGGTGACAAACACCTTTGCTGTACAGGAACAAAAAGGCTGTGAGGAGAGACCTCTTCTTCCCAAGGACTGGAAAGGTTCCTGAGACATGTCTGGTGTCAATTAATTTGTAATTTCTCATTACCGGAGTGGACCTTGGGCTCCTCCATGGCTGCAGGCTTCTGCTGGCCCTTTGCTTCTCCTGAGTCCCAAGCAGAGGTGTCCACATCCAGGGTGGCCACCACAGGACTCCGATGGATTTTTGGTACCTGGAACAGAGAGGGAGGTCTTGCAGAGTATGTCTGGCTGTACACAAGGACCAGAGAGCAGAGCTGTCTCCAAAATCCCATGCCCTAGATCACCCTCGTCATTGGAAGAAGTGGCACCAGCACCAGGGAAGGGGTCTGCCACAGAAGGGGGGGCTGTAAATGCACTCCCACATGCAGAGCAGCGCTGGGTTCCCTGAGAGGGACAGGGGACACGGGCAGCAGGGACCTGTCCTGTCAGATCTGGCCACGTGTGAATTCTGTCCCGTCCCCAGTACTGCTGCTGCGCCCACACCAGGTCCATTAAGACCAGTCTTACTCTGCAGCCTGGGGGTGAAGTCCCCCTTGCTGTGACCTGCTGCTGCCTATTGCTTTCAGAAGCTTAGTTAAGCACAAACCTCAGTGCTGCTACTGTCCTCGATGTCCTCTCCTGCAAACTCGTATGTCACACAGTAGCTGTAGGTGATCACCGGAGCCTCAGAGCCAACCTCCAGCTGTTGACAAGCGCTGGGATCAGGGACTCCCTTGATTTCCCCAACGCTCACAACCACTCGTGCTTCGCTCCTGATGAGCTCTAAAAGGAAGACAAACCTGCTATGAAGCTGCATCGTGCTCCTTCCTGAGCCAGGAAGGTACGGAGCTTCCAGGACGCCTGTCCCAACTCCCGGCCACCCTGTGCTAACGCTATGACGAGCCACTGCCACATGAGGTCACCCCAAAGCCATGCAAACAGGGCTTGGCTGCTTTGCATCCCTGATTGACATTCAGACTCCAAAGAGCACATCCAGCACATAAACTCATCGAGTAGGGGCCATCAAGAGGAGTTTCCCACCCCCCGTGTCCCAGGACCCTGCCCTCATCCCAGTCGGGGACTGCCATGCCGCAGCGGTGGCACTGCTTGGTGCTGGCAGCGCAGCTCGCCCGTGAGCAGCTTGCCCAGTGGAGACATTCTCCTCTTTCAGCAGCTTGAGAGGGCACTGCACCGTCTGAAACCAGTGTCTAGAAAGCAAAAGTGGGGTCAGGCCATGACAACCAGGCAGTGCTAGGATTAGGTTGTTCCTGCAATTTTTGGACCTGATTAAGGCTAAAATTACCTCGGTTGTAATTACACTGCTGCAGGGTCCTCTGCCTGCCTCCCCACTTTTACTGGTGGGGTAAAAAGGCTCAGAGAAAGATCTCTCTTTGAGGAGAGGCGAGAAGGAAGCCAATACTGGCTCCAGAGTTTGCCTCCTAGCTCAAACCACAATGAAACCACCTCCTGAATCATGGGGTCACCATGGACAGGTTCAAAGGCTCACCTGTCTGCTTCGCCAAACCGTGGAACTGGTGCCTCTCGTCAGGCCCTACGTAGATGTCATCGAGGATGGAGAGCTTGGGCAAGCTGTCCACAAGGAAGCCTCTGTAAGTGGGAATGAGAGCCAGCGGGTTCCCTTGGAGCACCAGGACACGGAGCTTCTGCAGACTGGACAGCTGTGACACCAGCCCCACTAGATCCGTGAAGTTGTTAAAGCTCAGGTCAAGGGAGACAAGATTTGGCCTAAGGAAAGAACCCAGAGAAGAAGGTTAGGCAAAGAGCATTCATCTGAAATAGAGAGCTACGGCCCTGGATCAAAATAGAAACAAAATTGCGCTTCCCCAGCACAAACTGGGTCGAACTGGGGAATCCAATGGTACAGTCTCAAGAGGCCAATCCCAAATCCCTGAGCTATATGGTCCATTGTTAGTCTGCCCCACAATTCAAACCCACGTTCCTTTAGCATCCCTTAACCACCCCACTGCATCATTCAGTGATGCAGCCCAAGCACTACCTAATCCTTCCCAGGCCAGACTCCCAGCAGGGGATTTGTGGGGTGGGCATGGAGAAAGGAAGCTGCCCAGGGATCTGGGAACTGCAGTGGGCAGTTCCCCAGGCGATCTCCCTGTTCTACACCTTGGCAGCAGACCAAGACACCCTCTAAGCGACAGATGACGATGAACAGAGGAAGCGCTCTGCACAGGCGCTGGACACGGAGCCAAGAAACAGCTCTGCTGGAGGGCTGTAACTCCTTGAGGAGCTTGAGGCTGGCCTGTCACACCTGCCCACCTCCCTTTCAGGACCCCACGTTCAGCCTGCGGCATTACCAGAAGTCCGCAGTGAGGTACTTGTCTTGCGAAGGGCTGCACAGCCTGTTGTGTCCCAGCCCCAAGTGCTGCAGCTCCGGAGGAGGCTGAGCACACAGGTCCTGCAGATCAGCCACGGCGTTGCAGCACAGCTCCAAGACCTGGCCCGGGCAGAGAGAACAACAAAGACCCTTGGCAATGAGCTGTTCCTGGCACTCCCTCGAGCGGCTCGGCTCATGCTGTGTTCCCAGACAGGACCTCCTCCCTCTCCCTCCTGTCACCGCAGGGCACCGCTCACTCACCTTCAGCGTGCGGGGCAGGTTGGCCGAGGTTATCCTGCTGATCTGGTTGGCACTGAGGATGAGCTCTTCCAGGTGCTGGAACTGCAACAGACCCTCATCGACCTCCTCCACCTGCAGAGAGTTGGGTTTGGCCAACACGTCCCTGAGCCAAGGTGACGTGAACATGTAGTGTTGATCCACGACATACGTGCAACACGGATTAGTGCAACAAGCTAGGGTGGAGAGGGGGCAGCAGCTATATCCCAGCTGTAGCGGCATCCAGGAAGACCCTGGGACGGGGAGGGTGTGCTTTTCCCAGGGTGTTTTTCCCCACAGCAGGAAGATGTGGTTTCCTGTCCTGGAGATGTGTAGCCTTATGGGCCCTGGCAGCTGCACTTACTCCCTTGCCAACGATCCGCAGGGACTTGAAGACCTGGAAGACATTGGAGCCGCGGACGAGCTCAGGCGTCAGCACAGCCATTTCCCGCAGGTGTTGGTCCTGGCGGCTGCCGTCCGGCGGCAGGGCCCAGGGGCTGTGCCGGTCCCTCAGCAGCTCCATCAGCGCCTCAGGGCTCTCCTCGCCCAGCAGCACGGCCTCCTCCTGCCCAGTCGGGTCTGTCCCCAGCCCCAGCACTTGTGCGTGCATCGAAACGAGACCTGTTCTGCAGAGAGGGAGAGAGGCAGTGACAGCCCTGCAGACCGCAGACCCCCCCCACGGCTGTGCCCCCGGCCCCCTACCCAGCTGCCAAGGCCGCAGGGGAAGTCCTGCAGACCCAGGCGTCGCAGGTGCTCCCGAAAAGCAGCCAAAACGCCGCAGCGGCCGGGTCCTGCCATCCAGCCCCAGCCCAGCTGGGAATTCCCTGCCTTGGTAACAGCGTCCCGTTGCTAGGAGATGGTGGGGACACAGATACCAGGGAAGCAGGCTCTGCACTCAGGGCTGCGGAGTGAGCCTGCGACAGCACCAAGCTCCTCAAGCTGGGAATAAATCCCTGGCTTTTCCCAATCTCCCCCGGGTGCTGCTCCCCACCAGCGCAAGAGCGGGTGTCCTCCATCAGCATTTGCCGGGTGCAGCGTAAGCCCCGTCCCCTGGCCAAGGACCTGTGACCTGTGGCATGGCATTTGCCATTTCACTTATCTACATCCTGAGTGTCAGTCAAGTTTCAGGGAGGAAGCAGTCAGGTTCTGTTAGCTGTACAAGCACTGCTCTTCACTCACTCGGAGGGCACCACCGCCACAGCCACGCGAGGCCATCGGAAAACAAAGTTCACAGCTAAAAATACCATCTCCTACACCTGGAAAAAGTACATGAGCCCCAGGATGAAAAGCCCCAGGTCTGTCTCGGGTCAGATTCAGGTCTCCACGCTCTGAGGTTTATTTGCTTTTTCCAGTGACAGGTGTTGAGGCAATGGCCACAAATTCCATTTTAGGGAGCCCGCAGAGCAGCCTGTGTCAGCAAAACTTCACCAAATGAATTGTAGATGCTCTGCAGCATCAGGTGGTTACGTGGTGGAAAGCTGACCTGCCACTCGGGTTGGGTTTTACAGGACGGATGCCGATCTGCTCCCTTATCAGCTCGGCAGCTTATCAGAGCTGTGTACAGCTAGGAAATGATGTGCAGAGTGTGCATGCGCTGAGAGATAGGGGCAAGCCATGGCACAGAATAACCAGGCAAACTGCTACCCTCAGCTCAGTAGAAAATAAAATTTTCCAAAAAATCTTTGAAAAAGCATTAGCAGTGGTTGAATCATGTATTGTGGAAAAGCCAAGCTGTAAGAATGCTGCTTCTCTTATTTGTAGCACTGTCACAAATAATGGCCCTGCTGTCATCGGGGCTGCACAGAGGCGTTCCCTGCTCTTGGAGGGAGACCGGCTGTGATTTCTCGTCTGCCCTCCCTGGCTGTACCCGTCTGGGGCAGCTGGAGGGGGACTGGCAGTGCCCAGTGCCCAACGGCCTCTCGTATGCGCAAGCTCACACGCCTTCCACGCATAGAATCACAAAATTACAGAATCATAGAATGGTTTGGGCTCGAAAGGACCTTAAAGATCATCTAGTTCCAACCCCCTGCCATGGGCAGGGACACCTGCCACTGGTCAGGATTCTGGGCCACACTGCTGGGTCATGCTGAGCTTCTCATCAACGCCCAAGTCCTTCTCCTCAGCGCTGCTCTCCATCCATTCTCCACCCAGCCTGTGCGTGTGCTGGGATTGCTCTCGGGCCTTGCACTTGGCCTGGCTGAACTCCCGGAGGTTTGCACAGGCCCATGTCTCCAGCCTGTCCACGCTCCTCTGGATGGCATCTCACACTGCTCTGTGGGGCACTAACCAGCTGCACCTCTGCTTTTTTGGTGCTTCCCAACAAGCAACACTCCAAGATCACCCTTCTACCTGAAACGAGTCATCTGTACCCATCATTGTCTTTGTAGGGGTGTTCCTAAAGAACACCCTGCACAAACAACTCCCCACCCCCAAATAAAAACCTCAGATAAAAGAAGTGTCTGCCAGAACTGTCCTTTCCTGGTTCTCCAGCATTCTGCTGTACGCCGTAGGCCACGACAACTCATTCTCTTTCTTTGCATTATCTAGCACATGGGAGCGTGGGTTGTGCAAGAAGAAACACGTCCCTATGGGATAGCTGCATCCCTCTGCTTGGCTGGCCGGGGCTCCCTCGCAGCACATGGCAGAACCACGTTCAGTTTGTGAATCTCCATTACTGTGGCTTCAAGGATACAACTGAGGCCTGAAGGTACAGGCTGGTGGGACCCGAGTGCAACACGGCACAGGAGAAATGTCCATTTGCATTTCAAGCCTTGGGAATCCGTTCCGCTGAGGAACAGTCTTTGTACCAATCCCAGCCACTTCAGGAGTTCATGCGCACATCAAGCTTTTTATTTTCAGAGAGAGATTGTTTCACATGGAAAACTGAAAGGATTATTTTGACACCCATCTGAAAGCTTTCTGGTGACATGACACACATTCATCGTTAAATCTGTGACTACCTTTTAGGCATATCTTCTATCACAGAGGTGGGAAGCACAAGGGTGTATGTGTAACTTGGCCTTTTCACGTTCATAGGGCTTTCCTCTGGCCTCCTTTCTGTCCTGAACTATCAGTAGTTCTGCAGGTCCTCTTCTGATCACAGCCTCGTACTTGTAAATCCCAGGAATGATTTTTCTCTGTTTTGGTGTCTATGAACATTTCCTGCACTTAGTTACTGGAAACAGAAACCAGCCTCAGGGGAGTTAGAGAGAAGGGTGACAGAGATGGGGAGGTGGAATCCTGGACACCCTCTCCTGGGTTACATGAGGGGGTCACACCTCGGGGACAGGGTCTTATGGACACCCAGCAATAGGATATATAGGTTGACCTGGAGGCCTGACCTGCCTTGCACACAAGCTCCTCGTGGCTTTTTCACTCCCCGTGTCAGCCCACTCCTGAAGCCTTTTCAGTGAAGAAATTTTTCCTAATATCCAATCTAAACCTCCCCTGGCACAACTTGAGGCTGTTTCCTCTTGTCCTGTGGCTTGTTACTTCCCTTCCCCAGCTCCATTCCCTTCTCTGTACACACTCCAGCACCTCAGTGTCTTTCTTGCAGTGAGGGGCCCAAAACTGACCCCAGGATTCGAGGTGCAGCCTTCACCAGTGCCCAGTACAGAGGGACGATCCCTGCCCTGGTCCTGCTGGCCACACTGTTCCTGATGCAGGCCAGGATGCTACAGGCCTTCTTGGCCACCCAGGCACACGCCAGCCCATATTCAGCTGATGTCGACCAACACCCCCAGGTCCTTTTCCACCCAGCAGCTTTCCAGCTGCTTGACCGCAAGCCTGAAGCTTTGCAGGAGGTTGCTGTGACCCAAGTGTAAGACCCAGCACTTGGCCTTGTTAAACCTCATACAGTGGCTTCAGCCCATGGATCCAGCCTCTCCAGATCCCTCTGAAGAAACTTCCTGCTCTCAGGCAACACTTGGTGCTGTCTGGAAATGTAATGAGGGTGCATTCGAGCCCCTCGTCCAGGTCATTGATAAAGAGATTAGACAGAACTGGCCCCAGTGCTGAGCCCTGGGGAACAAACACCACTGGTGAGCAGCCACCAACTGGACTGAACTCCATTCACCACCACGCTTTGGGCACAGCCATCCAGCCAGTTTTTTACTCAGCAAAGAGTACGACTGTCCCAAGACCCAAGCAGCCAGTTTCTCCAGGAGAAACTGTGGGTAACGATGTCAAAAGCTTTACTGAAGTCCAGGTAGACAACATCCTCAGCCTTTCCCTCGTCCACTAAGCAAACATCTTGCCAAAGGAGATCAGATCAGTCAAGAAGGACCTGCCTTTCATGAACCCACGGTGACGGCCTCGTCAGCTGGTTGTCCTGTATGTGCCGCGTGATGGCACTCAACATGACCTGCTCCAAAAAACCCAACAGAGCTTATGTTCTAAATCCTACATTTTGGAGACCCCAAGGATTTAGATGGAATGGCTAAGCCAAGCATCCTGAACTCCCAGTCAAATAGATGATACAGGACACCATCTGTTTCAGTTTGAAACTGCATCTAGATCACAATCAGTGAAGACGCATTTGAACCAACTTTCGATGTAATCTTTCAAAAAAGAAAAAACCCCAAACTATCACCCGCAAAAATAAAAAAAACCATGGAAGAGCCACTGACGCAAAACTCCACGGTACTTAAATGCAGCTTGGCTGTCCAAATCTACAGCACTCCAGGCAACAAGCAGCTTCTACACCAACCTCCAGCCAGCCTTTGGCCGAGTCAGCTGCTCCTCAAGCCCGTCATGAATCGCCAAGCAGGTGGGTGCAACGTAGTCTTGCTGCGTGTTGGAAGGTTGCACTGGTCGATGTTCACTGCTAGCTCAGCCATTTAATGTCTATAGGCTTCAGAAATACAGCACGCTGCACAAAACCAGGAAGTTTTGCAAAAATGATGTAGAGGCTTGAGACTAATCGTTGTGCTCTTTCTTCTCCCCCTTCTCTTCATTTGAAAGCAGAGATCAACAGGTTTGCAATCTTCCTCTTCTGTTCACTGGTTCCTTTGGGCTCCTTAGCACCAACAGCCACCTCAGAAGAAAGCAAAACTACTACTGAACAGAGGCAGAAGCATTTCACCACCAGAATAAAGCCCTTAGCATCAGTGATAGAAAGGCAAGCAACCACCTTGTTTAAAAACTACGTAAGTGTACTATTTTGCATTTGTTGCATCTATGTCTGTGGAGAAATCTCTTGAATTATTATAAAACACTAGAAAGACTGTAAGAAAAGAAATGTATGGGTCAGAACCTAACATAGACTCTTCTCTGCATTCGATACAAGAGGGAAAGCATTTACATTGCATTATTTCAGGGCAGAGCTGGAGCAAAGCCTCGGACAGCTGGGGAAAGCTTGGGCTAACTGTGATCTTTCAGACTAAACGCATTGCTCCTTCTCGGTTCCTTGAGTCACTCTAGGCTTGAAGCAGGCATGTTTTTGAATGAATCTGGTCAGATCACTGGGAACATGGAGAGAATTGCCTTGCTCTTTGGTCTCATCCTAGTAGTAGTGCAGTCAGGAGCAGTCCTGCCAAAAATCCTGCTCAGTCCGTCCTTTTCTTGGCAATGGTAAAATGTGCGCTGAACCCAAGCGTCAACGCTTCAGACAAATTTCTATTTCTGGGAACATGTTCCCAGGAGTACGTTGATAAAAATCAACATAAATGTTTCCCTTGAATTCATTCCTGAAATCAAAACCGTCTCTACTGAAACAGATGAAAATACGCTCTGGCCAAAGCAAATCTCCTGCATGAGTAAATTTTGCCCATATGGGAAAAAATAAAACGACAAAAAAG